ATATAATATTAAATTAAACGGCTCTGAGTAAACTTTATTGTAAGCACAGTGATCACTTAAAAATATTATATATTTTAGAGAACGGAGAGACATCCAAAATTTTTGTACGTTAAAGTGGCAATTTTAATATGATAGAAGTTGCAGCTTTCTTTTTAACGAATATAACGATGTATAATGCAACGACGTTATCTTACTTATACAAGTTGTTTCAGTTTTGCGGACGATTGCTTTCCAGTTTCTGCCCTGTGGCTAACTTCCGACTTTCATGTTGACGATTGACGTGTAATGTTTTCATTTGATCTTTCATAGTACTCTCGTCAATACGAGAGACGGAAGTTGGCCAAAATTGAAAAGATAATAGCCGTCCGCAAAACTTTAAACCAAAATAACTCTTATAATTCGTAAGATAATTTCATTATATCATACATCGTTGTATTCATTAAAAAGAACGCTACAACTTTTATCATTTAAAATTGTTATCATACCGTGCAAAAATTATATATATCTCTCCGCTCTCTAACATAGATAATATTTCTAAATGAACAGTATGCTTACAATAAAGTTTAGTCAGAGCCGTTTAATTTGATATTATATTTATTAAGACTATCTCTGATAGTTCACGAGATAAAAAGAAGTGGCCACTTATACTCTGTATATACTGTATTACTATACTGTACTACTGTATATATTGTTATATACTGTATTACGCGCACCCACACGCACGCACGCACACACATATATTTAATACGTAATTTTTTCATTCCTTGTAGGCTACATCTCAACAATTTCTTACGTTTCTTCAGCGACAAATGTAAAAATATGCTCAAGAATGAAATATTTTTTAAAGGTAAGTTTTATCAATGATAAAAATAATTGTTAAATATTTATGCGTTTATATTAAATTTAAAGTAAAACATATTAATACATAAATTGTATTTTTTTTTGCAGAAAGTTACAGTCATATTTCTATATCTGATGAAGAATATGATCATGTGCATTCTGAAACAGAAACGGAAATACACATTAGAGATAAAAACATTAATATGAAAAGAAAAACATCCTTACAAGATTTAACAA